TGGCAGTCCCTAGTAAAACCCTCATAACTTTTTACTCGGATGTCCGTTTGATACGGGGTTTTGTGCGTTGCAAACTAGACTCTTAGGCCTTCGATTTAATGGGTAATAGGCCTTCTAACTCTTTATATATTGGGAGAAAACATCCAATACATTTGACCCAAATTTCAAAGAAATCTTTAAAAAGGAACTTATGATAACTTTCGCCAACTTTTATTTTGCCACTTACTTAACTTCAAAACTTGAGATAAAACCCTTGAACATTTAAAATATGACATACCACATCCTTTTTAATTTATTACTCACCCTCTTTGTCTTTCCACGAAGGTACGAGTTAATTTAGACGTTTTGAAAAAGTCGGGGTGTTACAACATCCTTAAAATAAAATCCAGTTAGAAGAGGAAATTCAATTAGAGATAAGAAACCTATAAATAAGCTTATTAAGTATATCTCGATTAGCCAGCATATATGTCCTGGTGAGTATAGATGTCTAGATGACTGCCAAGTAAGCTTCAGTAGGCTAATGAGTAAGAATATTTCCCGTATGTGTCCCGCTGGGTTCCGCACTATACTTCACTATTACTTTTTTAAAGTCCATTTCATATTGCGGGAAGTCAAAAATACTTATTTTGAGTAAAAATATTTATTTTGAATAAATAAGGTATTTGCCTAATCAGTAAAACTGTTTGTTTTAATAAAAGTAAAATCAGTATTTCTGTTGAAAGAAGATAAAAAAAAATTCCCTCTTAAAAAAGCAGAAGCAGAAATTTTTTAGATAAAAATATGAATGTCATATACACATATTTAATTACCAGTATATCTCTTTTATTTTTTTAGTTTTTTGATGAGCTTTTCATATATAGTGATTTTAATTTGTGAAATGATTTTTAAATTTATTTTTCTTGATTTTTTTAATTATATTTAAATCACCATATTAATATTATCAATATTTAATTTATTTTTAATTCAACTATGTATAATATTTGTTGAAAATTTAAATATATACATTTTAATTTTAAAAAAATATAAAATTTTATTAATTTTTTTATAACAGATATTCAAAATAATTTTAATATTAAAAATGCATTGATATTTGTCTTTTTTCGTAATTTGACTCACTAAAGTATTTTTTTTAAATTGTTTTTTACCAAACACAATCCACTTATCAAATACACTTTTTCAGATGAATTAATCAAACACAAATTACTTTTTTTTAAAAGCATTTAAAAAAATATATATTTCTAAAAATAAGTCATTTTTAGTAATAATGCCAAACAAACTCTTTAATCTTATTACCCCGAGAAATCTTACCGATAGTATAGTTTCTTAATGAGTTCCGCTATCCTCAAGAATCAAATAAGGTTTTGTACAACCCACTAGAAGCGTTAATTTTGGAATACTGATCCTCTAATTTGCCTAAGGAACATACTCTTCTATTTATTTCTTTGTTGAGCACTGATATTGTGTTAAGTAAAATAACTAATAATACAATATTTTATCGTGAAAAATTCTGGCTCATAAAAAGAAAAAAAAATCACGACAGAGTTTTTTTTTAAAACTGTATAAACTTAACGTTTTAGGTTATATTTTATTCAAAAAAAATCCAGTCATGTAAAATATAAGGGCCGATGACGTTAAATAAAATAGCGTTACTAGTAATAATGTTTTAAACATAATATGTTACTCTCAATAATGTTTTATTAATTGTGACACAGAGACACATTTTACAGCAAAAACATTATATTTCTTTAGAATATAATCACAAACCATCAAATCCTATAAATTTAGAATCGACTCGTGCAAATTTGCTCCTACATAAATATTAGGCATAATACATAAACATGATCCTTAACTTGATTTCAGCGGACAACTATGACCTTTAATTTTGGATGCGCATAAATAGACACTTAAACTTGTATAAAATTGAACAAATAGATACATTTGTCCTACATCGCACCCTACATGACAATTATGTGTCCTATGTGTAGTATGCCAAGTAGGACACGTGTGTCTACTTGTTCAATTTTATACAAGTTTAAGTGTCTACTTATGCACACCCAAAGTTGGAGGGCATAGTTGTCCGTTGAAGCCAAGTTAAGGGTCATGTTTATGTATTATGTCTAAATATTAACTATTAATCTCAATATCTTAGTGGTTGCTACTTTTTCCCTTTAGCTTTCAATTCACATTTCACAATGACTTTGAGTTCAAAAATTCACATTATACAAGACGTTAAAACCTAAAGTAAGAACCCTATTTCTCTTAATTTCTCTTTGTGTTGCACTTGTATAGTAATTTTCATGTTAGTTATATTGTTTCTATTTTATGAGTGTTCTGTAAAGTTACATTATCAATTATCTTGTCGCATCAAATTATTGGAGAAGACATATATTTATTTTTTAAGCATTTTCTTATTGATTAAATCAAAACCGAACCGTTACGGACCAAAATGGATAAATAAAAAATCGATAAAGAAATATCTTACTGATTTGATTATTGGTATTTAAAACTGAAAATCGATAAACCCAAATCAATATAACCAAACCGACACACCCCTAAATGAGATTACTTTCATACCTATATATATTGTTATGTGATGAGAATTATCACTAACTTGAGGGCATTTATATGTCCTTTTATGGGAGACAAATAGGATAAACTAGTTATGATTTCCATCCCTTTCAACTTTATTTTCCTTAGTTTTCAAATGAAGGACTTAGAAGTATTTCGCAAATCTGATGGAGGCTTTTTCCGTGTTGCAAAGATGTGAAGGTGAATATGACATGATCAGACACACCATAATGATAATTGACAACATCAACATCATGTTTGAAGAACAAACAGAAAATTTATTGGAATCTGCATTAATACAAGAACCATCTCTACTATGCATAATATCATGTCACGTGTGTGACATCTGACAGCAGAATGGATGGTCACCATAGTCACAGCTTACAACAAACCTCATCACTATATCTGCACAATTCCTTTTTAAACTCCAGAGGCCTATAGTTCAGTCAGGACTAGGCTGTTAACAAGTAGAAGCCTAAGAATATACTATGCAGGGCAGGATTCTCAATAATCTTTACAGGCCCCAATATGTCGTGGATCAGTTATTTTTTAGTCTAAAAAGTTTCTGTAGTAATACCAAATCACGATATTTGAAGGGGAAAAAAAAGATAAAGAGACATTCAACCAACTTGGGAGGTTGTGAAAAGAATGAGTCTCTTTTACATCCTGACTGAACCAGTCACTTGAACCCTGCTGGAATTGGCTTCGTTGTTCTTGATTGAGAGGTTGGCAAATTGTGCTTCAAGATCTCTGCTTTTGTTTCGACGATGTTTAGAATGATTCTGTTGTTGTGGCTGCTGATGCTGTTGTTGCATTTGCTGCCTCTGCATCTGATACATAGTTTGTAGCCTTGTGAGCTCTCTCTCCAACATCTCTTGCTCCACTGCATCAATCAAACATCATAGTAAGTTTTTCTATGAAACAATTAGAAAGTATGATTGCAACATTAAAAGGGAGAAAAAGAAGATGCATTACAATGTTTGATGAGCTGCTCCTGTGATAAGCTATCCAAACGCTGCCTCAGCGCTCTATTCTCCATGCTTAGTATAATATTTTGTTGGTCAACAAATTCAAGCTCCGCAGAAAGCTCAGATCCTTCTGCCTGAAATGTCACCAAATAGAAATAAGTTACATCTCTACCTAAAGTGCAAATACAAAATGAAATGATGAGTCTTGTATTTTTTCTACCTGTAAAGCTTGAACTGTTCTTTCAAGTTCAGCTATGTGCTGAAGTTTCCTGACACGTGATCGGTGAGCAGATTGCCTATATAAGAAATTATATGTTACTTCAATTTGTTGTAATGTTCTCAAGCAGTGTACTTTGCAACAAAATTGATGACATTGAAACGAAACCTTACTGTTTAGCACGTTTTGCATCTGCCTTGGACATGGAATGTTTGGCTTGTGCATTGTTTGATCTTTCACTAGAGCCCTCTTGGTTTTTCGAATTATTGATCTCTCTCATGTTATGCTTTTCATGGGAAACAGATGGTGCACCATTCAATTCCTGAGCAGCCTATAAAGATGGAAGGCCTCTGATTAATATCAGAAATGTATCGATCGAGCATTCAAATGTGTAGCTAATTTACCTTATTAAATTTCTGTTCATGGGAAGAATTTGGCTTTGTTTCATAGGGAACTGCACTCAAATCTTTGTAACTCACATAATTAACTGAACCCCAAGAAGCTCCTATATTTACATTCTTATTTTTAGGTTCTTCCCATGTGTTTAGCCTCTCTGCAGCTGCTCCTAAGTATGCAAAAGTATCACTTGCTGAACGTCGATGACCTTTGTGTACAACTGTCGTTGTCTCGGGAGGTTCATTCAAAAGGTCATCGAGCCAAGAAGGTTGCTCCTCTATAAGAAAGCTCTCGGAGTTACACCGATGATGGTGACTCGATCCCTCTGTTGGCTTAGCTTTTCCCTTTGATCCATCCATGTTTGAATCTACATAGGACTGGAGAAAGGGAGAAGTAGAGTCCATAATCGACTGCTTGTTCGAAAAGGAGAAGTTTTTCAAGCTTGATGAACCATTTAAACTTTCCATTTCTAATGAAAATCTGCAAGGGATCAATGTTTGAAGTGATTAATTGATAATAAAAGGCTTACTATGAATACCTTCTAAATGGCAATTTGTTTGCTACATGGATAGGAAAATAGAAAAGGATGCCTTTGGAATAACAAATACTCGTTTTGTTACAATTTGTTTGTCTGATTTTGACTTGATTTGCACATAGTTTAAGAAAGTATGAAGACTTATATTTTATGATCTTAAACTAAAAATATGTAGAACGTATCAAAATGTCTTTTGATCTTGTGATTTTAAACATGTCATGTGAAAATTTAAAATTAAAGTGTTGCAAAAAAAATGAAAAAAGAGAGACATCCTTTTTTAAAGAGATTAAAAAGGAAAGTAAGACAAGCAAATGCCCATTAATTTTGCACTATGCAAATCTTGAGATGCCAAAAAAAAGGTTAAAAAAAAATCCAAATTTGAAGATAAAATAGGAGTTACAAACACACTTAAACCAGAGTATAGGTTAAGATCATCTAAATGATTTGTTCTAATTAATGTTGAGTTTAACAACATAGGGGTGATGGTTCTTTTTCTCATGGAAAATTTAATCAAAGAAAAGAGACACACAAGTAGATATCCACTCTCCAACTTACGACGTCTAAATTTTGAATCCTCAATTACGTGATGGTCCCTCACATTGAGGATGAAAGGACACTAATGAAATAGCAAAAATGCTTTATAGAACTCAAAGAAACCATTTACAAATCAAGTGATCAAAAGCAAGCATGAAATTTCACAATAAATAAACAATTCACAATTCTTCTCTTGTATCATTCCAATTTTATCGAATGTCCTCGATCAAATGGACACAATTCACATCTCTTACAAAAATAAAAGCAAGCCTATTAACAATATGGATCAAAAAACAAAGATGAATTACCAAAGAGGGAGGTTGCCCCAAGGGGGGTGTCTCAAAGAAGAGGTGAAGTTGAGAGACCCCACACTTTGGTCCTCAAACCTTTATGTTCATTTGCATTTGATTTTTGATTTCTTTTGGTTTGATTCAATAGCCTCTTGTCATCTTCTTGAAACTCAATACCATAAAAGAGAGAAAGACCGCACTTTACGTAACCAAATGGAAAGGGATCCCACCACGTTTTTGTACTATTATCAACAAAACATAATTATTTTCATTTTCATTTTCATTTATAATCAATTATTCTCTCTTTATTCGTTTTCTTTTGTTTCCCTTTAGGCATAATATATATATATATATATATATGCGCGCGCCTTTTAATTTGACATTATTTTATATTTATGTCCTTCAATTTTGGGTGTGAGCAAGTACACACTTAAACTTGTATAAAGTCGAAATAACTAAGTATATTTTTTTGTTTGTTGCAATAACAAGAATAAACATATATGATTGAAAAGTTGTCTCGAAAACTTTTATTAACCATATGATTTTAAATAGCAACTTAAACAAAGTAGCTAGTAAACTCATCCTATAGTAATTAGTGTAGTAAATCAAAGTATTAAATTATTTCTATAACAAAACAATTAATAATTCCAGTAAATTTGTAACAGTGCCAATGAATTGTCTTGAATATACAATTATTCCTATAACATATATTGTTTGTTTCATATTCAGTAGGATTATTCAGAGTTGTATATTTCATTTTTAATTGTTCATAATTTGTGACACTAGTTCTTAAAGAGTGTAAAGTAGAATTTTATATTATATTCCCTTGAAATTATTTCACTTATGTTATCGATCGGATTATACTGTGCCTTTCTTTATTAAGTAAATTATTTTGGATTGTGATTACATTTAAATTGATTCACTTACTGGGTAAGGTGACATGTTATTCTTTTTCTCGATATGAAGTAGCGTGTTTTCTACAAATTCATCATTATATAGAGTCTTCATAGTGTGTTCTTGATGACAAAGATAGTTTCATCATCTTGCGTTTACCCTGTAAAATATTTTGGTGCTATTTTTCTAGCGACTCCTTGATACTTGTGATTGATCTACTTGATATCTATGATTGACATACTTGATATTTATTGATTGTTGAACTGTAACTATTGGACTGCGATTGTTAAGCCTTGAGAACTGTGTATCTTAAAATTGTTAAATCTGGCTGATTTCTATGCATGCAGGTAGTAGTTGAGGTGGTTCAGTTGGGATGAAAGGAGTACTCGTATTCCAGCTAGTTTTGCTTTGTTTAAGTGGTTACTTGTTGAGTTACGTATTGTTTGATACTCACTCTTTGCTTCTATACTTGTGTAGGTTCCGAGCCCGGACCTATGTGACCTTTCTCCTTCATCTTTTTCGAGGATACATTCAGAGGTAGTTGATTGTCATCCGGCGGGCCCTCTTGTTTCTTACTGTTTTGTTCTATTTGACAAACAAAGACATTCAGACTTGTATTATCTTTCAAATTCTATATTATTACATTAGTGACATGTACACATGACAACCATGTTATGTGAGTAATTTAAAATGACTAAGTTTTCCACTCTTATGCTATTATTGTTTTACTTTTCACATTTGTTTCACATTGTTGGATTTGAAGTTGACCTGTATTGGTGGGATAGATGAGTGTCATCACAACCATTTTTCATCAATATAAGTATATAAAATGCCTCTTATAATTTTGTATATTATTTTATATCGGATATAATATATTGTATATCAAATTTCTAAATATTTTTGTTGAAAAGAAATATGAAAGTGTTGTATATTATTCTATACCAAATGTATATTATTGGACTAAAGATTTATTATACAAATTTTCAGCTATATTTTTGCAATAGAAATTAGATAATTCATAATTGGATTTGACTTCTCTCTATTTTCCTTTTCTCCATTTTCTTAAAGTTTCTACTTAAATTGATAATACATGTCATAGATTTAATTTAATCCCTAATCACACCTAGCACGTATATTCCCCGTCTTTCAAGTTTTAAAATCCTTAGTCAGACCTACCACATTGCTTAATTATATACTACCTCCGTTCACTATTGTTTGTCAGGATAAGATCATGCACAACCCTTAAGAAAAATTTAATATAAGGTGCAATTTGACTAATATAACCCTACTATCAATCATTATTAAAATGGTTTGTACTTTTTGAAAACTGTAAAAGCAACTTTTTTCACATTAAAGTAGTCTTGTAATTTTAAAATGACTACTTTTTAAAATCGATAGTTATGTAATTATTAAGGACAGAATTGGAAAAAATGACTAATTATTTAGGAAGGTTAATGCATCACATGATAGAGTACCGTTGATGCATATATATATATCACTAGATTTGATTTTGTAGTTCTTTTAAATATGAATTTAGTTTTAATTATTTTCAAATTGGAGATTTTTTTTATATAGATTTATATATATATATATATATATATTATATATTATATATAGCCTCTTCTTTATTTCAGTATTAGAATTAGCTTATTAACAACAATAATAAAAAGATTCTTATAATCACAATTGTCGGTATCCGCACACTCCATAGTAAATAAAAAGCAAATAAAAATAAAAACAAAAACGTATGACAACAAAGAAAATGAAAAGGCTTTAAGGATAGTTTTGTAATTATTTTTTCTAATGCAAGTGTTAAAATGTTACTCCCTCTGTTCCAATTTATGTGACACTTTTCATTTTTCGAGAGTCAAACTGTTTAAGTTTGATCGGGAATTTGCGATGGAATCTTCAATTTTTTGGAAACAAAATTTATATATTTGTAAACTTCGTAAAAAGCATTATAAGTCACAATAATTAATAATTCAAAATGTTTAAAAAATATATGAAAAATTTACGGTCAAAGATAGACTTGTTTGAATCTCGAAACCCGATCACATAAATTGGGACGGAGGGAGTACATATTACTAATACCTAAAATTTCTTGGTATTAGTAATACACAACTTAACATACAATATAGGGTCGTTTGATAGAGTGTATTAGAAAAAATAATGCATGCATTAGGTGTGTGTATTAGTAATACCTTATTTGGTACACTTTTTTATGTCATGTATAACTAATACAATCATTAGTTGTACACTATTGTTTATTAAGTTGTGTATTGATTCAAAGATACTATACTAACAAATATTCTTTAGTACTAGATTGAATTTCTCTTTCCCAACAAAGTACCAATCCTAATTTCTATTTGGACAAGTATTTTCTCTGGCCATCAGGGGTTTGCAGGTTCACATGAATTCATATTTTTTCTTAAGTCATAGATGGTAAAATCATATTTTTAAAATATTTAAATATAAATGCATGTGAGAATCCACAGTTAAAATATCAATTTGATAATATTTGGGTGTATCTTAATTTCTAAGTGAAATTAGAAATTTAAATCTAATTTAGACATTGAAAATTTGTAGGATTTTACAAGATTAATTCTATTTCAATTAAGTTTTTTTGGAGGCTACTTTACCCTAAACCTTAGATTATGCCTATATAAGTAATATTATAATATACCTTAAAGAGGCATTTTGAAATATCCCGCAAGTTCATGGAATATTCACAAAGATCAATGGATATTAAATAAATCTTAAAATATTGTTAAGACCCAAAAATGGACGTGATGGCACTCGTCTTATCCCATCAAGACAAGTCAGCCTAAAACCCAACTAATACAGTAAAATGCGAAAATTTCATAATCAACTCAAAAATACCTCCAAAATTTGGTTGTCACGTGTACAAGGCTCTAAGTATTACAATTGATTCAAAAGAAAACAGAAGTCTTAAATGACCTTGTTTCTAGAATAGAACAAAATCATAAATAGGAGTAAGAAGGTCTGTTGATATGACAAACAGCTACCTCACAAATCTCCAAGAAGCCTCGAAAATAGGAGAATGGAAAGTATCACAAAATCCAGGCTCGTAACCTACAAAAAATTGTAGAAGCAAGGGGTGAGTACCAAACCACGCGGTACTCAGCAAGTAAACTTCTAAACACAAGCTAAGGGAATAAAATACGGGTACTCCTTACACACCAACCAAACCTCCACAACTACAACTTGCATAAAACCAGCCCAACCTAACAGTTCACAGTGTACATAGCACCCAGCTCAACAACAATCACTTTTAACCAATTACATATCCTCAACAACAAACTCAATATTCATCAATCACAACTTCTACAAAAAAAGGCACTCACAATATCAACAACGCACTAAATCAAGTTCATCAAATAGAGGTAATCAAATATCAAGTACTTTCCAACCACCAAATAAACACAAATCATCAAGAATGAAGGATGTCATGGGATGCAATGCAATATGACACCATAAAATGAATGCCTCAGAATACCAAGTACTCTCTCAACCGTATATACATGATACTCCTCGGAAATACATCGAGTGTTCATGACCCATGGGGGACTCGCGAGGTCCATATACCGACACGGACGATCTCCACGTGTTTGTGCGGATGATCTCCACGTGCCCAATTATAATCATAATCAATTCCTCGCACGGACGATCTTCATGTGCCCAAATTATAATCATACTCTATCTCAACACGGACGATCTCCACGTGTTAGACCTTTACTCATACCCAATCTCATGTCAATACATGTGCACAATATGATATTAATTAAAGGGGATGATGCAACATCTCAATAAAATCAAATGTCGCTATGACATATAATCACCTCAATTATCACAATTATAACGGGTTCAGTAAAGAACACAATTACACATAATAAATCAAGTCAATAACATATCAGCTAATACCCATATGTTTTGGCATTCTCGGATTACAATTCGCATTCTATAGTAATAAACTTTTCCTTTATAACACTGGTATCCGTACCATTCTCAACACATCACACACAAACAATTAATCACATTGCCTTTTGTTACCCCTTCTCATCATTAGAATTAATCAGGGTGGACAAGTCAACCCATCACCAAGTCTCATTACCCCCAAACACATATTACAAGGAAATACACGAATTTCATACACTTAACAAGGGTTTAGAAATCCACTTGCCTCAAATAAATGAACAATCACTCTGAGATTTGAGCCTTCCCTTTTCGTTGAGCTTCCAAATCAATGCA